ATATATATATATGCCGGAACTTCCGGTTTCTAGTCAGTGTTGGTTGCCTATCTGCACAGACAGATTAAACCGACGTTCACTCCAGTCACTGGTGTTGTATGGTTCCATTCTCTTCACATTTAATCTATTCAACATTTATGCGGTTTCGTCCTGACTTCAGTTAACGAACACTCAATTTTCTTACACAACCTTTTATCAAATCCCTATGGACTCCAAAGCGCTTATACTACAGTCAATCACCCATTCACACATACATTCACACACTGATGGTGGTAAGCTACATTGTAGCCACAGCTGCCCTGGGGGCAGACTGTCAGAGGCGAGGCTGCCATACACTGGAGTCACCGGGGCCCTCTGACCACCACCAGCATTAACATTAAACAGTACCACTTTTTAAGACAGATATTGYCTTATCTGCAACTCTTCACCTTCACTCTGGACTTTTCTCAGAGTGACAGARGGAGTCGAGATGGCGGAGGCACGGAAATTGGCAGGTAATGTTTCTGAGGAGTCAGAGGTCACGCCGCGGAGGTCCTTCTCCCGGAACATCTTCCTCCAAGATGGTGACCTCGTGAACGTTTTCGTGCCGTCCTGCAGAGTCAATGAAATGATGTTGTTGATTAAAACCCATTCACTGCAGAGGCTCTTCCATTAGTCACCGTTAATAAACTAGTATTAGACAAAGCAGCAATATTACACAGCTTAGTTATGCATGCTGTAACTAAGCAATTAGCACCCATGTAAACACAGCTGAGCCACTTCACTGTGCCAAGAGTTTGYCAGCTGTGACAAATGCCATGAAGGCTGACTTTATAAGGTAGAAAAAAATTGTTTTCTTTTTTTTATATTACTGGAAGAAAATGAGCCTGTCACAACACATWTTTAACAAATGAAAAAAATCAGACAAATATGCAACAAAAGCCATGGTTTCCAGTAACAGGATGTCAGGATGTCTTACTGGAAAACACAAACTATCATCTTTTAGCCGAAAAGATTCTTATTTTGACAGATTTTGCTCTGACTGTTGGCTTTGTCRTACCTCATCAGGCCTCCTTTCTGTTCCCATGGAGATGAGAGCATTATACTCCTTCTCCAGGAGCTGCCTCGCCTGCAAAAACGCAAAACTGGAGTTAGAGTATCAGCAGACACAACAGAGACTAAAAGAAAATAAAAAAGAGAGTGATTCTAGGAGTTGAAGATGAGAGCTGTTTTAGAAATGTGGAGAACCTGTGTGTTCTGGTTTGGTATCTGAAGAAGGAGGGCCAAGTCGGTGTAGTCGAAAGTGTCRTCCAGTGCCAAGAGGGCCCCGTGGACCGCACTTTCTAACAGGTTGTCTGCAAACTCTTTCAGACCGATGGACTGCACCCAGCACATCACCCGCTCGTTGGACCAAACCATCACATCTGAGGAGAGGGGCACGAGAAGCAGTCCAGTTTATCAACACAGTAAGAAGAAAAAGGAAACATTCAGAGATTATWTCTGATGGTGAGATTGGTATATTATCCACGGGACTCACCTTGGTTCTGATGCTGACTCTCCTCTCTCCTCCTTTCCAGCTCTTTCCGGTCGTAGTTCAAACGCTTCAAGCACATGATACCATAATGAAGACTCACTCTGTAAAAAGGACAGAACTCACCTCAGCTAACTTTTTATCAACTGTTAGAAAAGATCTAAACAAAACGCATCAACATTTAAAGATGCAAATAAGATGCCAAGAAAACGAGGAGCTATTTGATCTAAAAAGGTGGATAAATGTGCACCTGTGGAAACTGTCCACCATCTTCAGCTGACCCCTCAGCTCCTTCTTGGTGAGGTGATCGAGCATTCGGGCATCCACCAGTGACTCCATGAAGTAGGAGCGGTACTGAGGCAGACCCAGACTGGGCAGCCATTCATTCCCCACCCACTCATGGTTCATGTCTCCATAGGCCAGAATCTGGAAGAGGAAGAGGTTGATACAGATTAATTTAAAAAAAAGTTAAACATGATTTTGAAAGATCTAAAGATTAACACGTTAATTTGACTGACTCTTAAACTTCAGATTTACATTATATTTGTTTAAAAAAAGTGAGCATTTTTGTATTACATATGTGCATATTTTTTCTCTGGAAACAAATTCATTGTAGTTTCAGGTTAGAAGAAACAGAACACAGTTTCACCATGTGCTTGTTTAAAATGACAAAACTTTATATAAAGTAGGACAGCATCTGAAAAGTGAACAGGGAAAAATCATCAATTTGCATTGCTTCAAATGGCCACTAGGGGGCAACTGGTTACATCAAGGTTAAAGGAATAGTCTGGCCATTATTGAAGCGATGTTCTGTCGAAATAGTTAGATAGGTAGTACCTTATCAGCCATGACATCAGTCAACCCAATTTGKTTTACGTATTTAGTTCTACTTTTAATGTTTACTTTTACCTCCTCATAATTTTGTAATTAAAATAGATTAGACTTTTTGAACACGCTACGTGGAGAAACTACTTTGAGACTTTGTACAGCAATCTGCATTTTTCTATTCTCACCTGATCCCAGCTGAACTCCTTCTGCTCCTTTTGGTTCAGTTAGAGAAAGTGAAGAGGAAACAGAAAGGGAGAAGGAGAGGAAAAAGTCACCAGGGAAGAGTGTGTTTGCATGTGCATGTGTATGCATGTATGTGTTATAGTGAATCAGTGCCAGGATAAAAAAAGAGGAGAGAAAGGGAAAAAAAGCTGTGTTAGTGAGTGAAAATTAGTGGGGAAAAACACTACATCAAAATAGATTTTTAGGAAACAGCAAAGGAAAGATGAAGCCAATCAAAAACAAAGAAAAATAAAAACATAATTATTTAGAGTAAAAAGGAAAACAATTCAAAATCAAATCAAAATGATGAAATGAAAGATTCCTTTTATAAATTTGAGATGAAATGAAAGAATTACTGGTTTGGTGGCGGCAGCGAGGGACTCCATCTCAGCGTGGGTCATCCAGATATTACTGGTTGACTGTAAAAACAGAGAAGAAATGATTGGTCCTCTACTCTGGTGTAAAAATACACAATTGTTCATTTAACAGCACAGTATTATGGATGTTGTCATGGTTTACTCAGAGCCTTACAGAGCGGGTGCTCGCAGGCGCCGACGGACTCGTGAGAGAAACCATTTCCTGAATGGCCAGACGGAGTTTGAGCCTGTGCAGAGGGTTACTGATACCGATCTCTCTTTGAATCTCTGTGTCCGACAGGTTGGCCATGATGGCGCCGCTCTTCACGTTGGCCCGGCAGGCTGCCACATACCAAGCAGGCATCCCGACCCACAGCTGGGTAAACACAGAGGAGACATGCTCGTACGGAGAAACTTAAAATAAAAAAAAAGTTTTGACTCATTACTGAAATGAACCATTTGCTCAGAGAATAATCTTCGAACAATATGGACTCCTACATGACAACCTTAACCTTACAGTATTATAGGACAGGGCGTGATGATGCATGTACCTCGAGCCATGTTACGACAGTGGGACCATCCCATGAGGCGAAAGGAAGACCCTGACGACAAGCTTCCTCTAATAAGTCGTGCCTGCCAAGGAAAGTGGAAAGCCAAAGTTTGACAGAGATTGATTCTTTATATCTCACCTTACCCATGTCTCTCTTTATAAATAGAAAATAACACAGAACATGAGACATCAAATACCGCATTTCTACCTTGTGGCACCAAGATAGCATTTGTTTATTCAACTTAATACTGCCTGTGGAAGAAAACACTCGAGCACGATCCTGGTTTGTGTCACCTGGCTATGTGAAATACAAATCTACTGTCATGATAAAGATTACAAAGATCTTGTGTGTGGAAAGATGATCTCACTTCTTTTTGCTGCGGCGATCTTTTTCTACTGTTCCAGTCCCGATTTTTGCCAATCCCAATGGGTCAGCTGAACCAAGGTCATCGGATGGAGTAGAGGCTGTTGAGATGATAATTAAACCTTGTTGGTCATTCTTAAATTAATGCTTTAATTGTGAGCAGCAGTTTCCAATCTGTCCACAGACCCAGTGAGGCAGATTCGCGTCCAGGTGCACCAATTCTTCCCTTTTCCTTTTTGCCAAAGAGACGTCCAATAGAGGACTTGATGCTTTTCTTTTTGCTGGCTTTGTGAAGGGAATCCTGGCTAGCAGTGGTGGAGCCATCAGCAGAAAGACTGGACAAACAGATGGAAGAAAGATCGCTAAATTTAGCACACACCATGAGTGTATTTTAGGATTCATTTGTAAGCTGTGTAAATGATACACAGAGACTCGGCTTTTGTACCTGCGGAATTCACGGTGGTCGTCGAGGCCTGCTCCTGGGTGTGTGTGAGTCATTCGGTCCAATCGTAAAGCTCGAGGAACAGGTGGAGGGGTTGAGTCGATGAGGGCGAGTGCCTTGCATTCTTCACCCTCTTTGCTATTCTGCAGTGTGGAAAATATTCCAGATTTGCACAGCGCACCTCAGTTTCACATCATTAATCTGCTCACATATGAGCTCGGATTCAATACCTGTCTCTCCGTCTCCCTGGCAGGTGAATGTGGTAGGCGGGGGGTGGAATGCCCCGAACTGGGAGGCGAAGGAGATGCAAGTGTGGAGGATGTGATGGAGGGAGTCATGTAGCCTCTTCCAACACTGTCTCGCCCTCCCAGTGAGGATGGTGGAAGGGATGAGGCATCAAGGGCCACGCTGCTGACCCGACTCTCAATCTCCTCTGCCTTCAGCTCCGTGCTCTCCTTTTCCTCCTGAATTAACCTGAGGTAAGAAAAGAGAAGATGTCTTCAAAAGTGCAACCTTGACCATCATTTGGAATTCAAATGAAACCCTCATACTCACTTAATCTCCTTATTGATGGCCTCCAGTTGCTCCTGAAGCATGATGGCCAACGTCTGTACATCTGTCTGTCCACTGGGAGAGAGCAGCTCAGATCCAAACAGAGTCTCCCTGTCCTCCTCGTCATCAGAGCAACCTCCCTCCACACCGCCCTCATACCCAGGACCTAGCATGGTACCACTGTCCCACTCACCATACTGAGCGGAGGCAAAAGAAAACCCATGTAACATTCAATGGCTAGATTTGTTTTTAAATCAGCAGCATGATTTGAGAATGAGATGGAAAACCTTGTTGCTATCATCTCTCGGAGGTCCCCACCGGCCGCGATGCGCCCGTCTGACCACCACAGCGCCTGAAGAGCTGCTGTAGCCGGCAGGGAGTGAGCCGCTACCCTGAGGGTACCGCAGCTCTGAGGCACTCCCTGGAAGAGATCTTCGAAAAAGGGTGGAGGGAAGTGAACTCACGCTGCCCGCCCTACAACAAGAACCAGAAATTGTTTGGTTACGGCACACTACATGGTAAAAAACAAACAAAARCAATTCTGACTCCTGGATGAGGTCATGTTTTTTCTTTACATAAATATTTTAATCTTTGTTTTGTAGATCAATGCCGAGTAGAAGAATAAGGGTTTCAGTGAACAAACAAAAGAGGTCAACTAAAGTTCAAAAACAGTGCGGGCATGTTTATCCCTAGGATCCCTTGGGTATTTATAAATCATAGTGTGTACGATGTTAGTACAGCTACAAGTTAATTGTGGCTAACCTGGAGTAGGAAGATCCAGGCCTGCCTCTCAGCTGATCCAGCTCCAGTTGGACTCGTTCCAACTCTGCAAGTAGCTGCTCCTAAAACACACACAATATACAATAACCACAGAATTTAAACATTATAAACATGACTCATTTATAATTGAGAGTACACAGCTAAAGTACCACTTACCTTATTGGCAATAAGGTCATCTTGGATTTTCTTCATGTTGGACAACTCCTCTGAAAGAGCATTCTGGCAGAGCAAAGAAATGCAAAATAAATAAATAAATAAATAAATAAATAAATAAATAAATAAATAAATAAATAAATAAATAAATAAAATTAAAAACGGTATACAAATTTATTGATTTTACATAAACATCTTAGTAAGATTTTCTTACCTTCTCTTCGAGTGCTGCCATCCTCTCTTTGAGGTGAAGCTGAAGTCTCTCATTGGACTCAGACAGAAGCTTATCCACCGTATCTGAGAGGCGTTTGTTGTGTTCATCATTCATCTTCTCCCTCTGTCTCGCCTGAAATCAAACCAGACACGAGCTCAGCATAAAGAACAAATGACCCTACAATATATATATATATATGTATTTTTTTTTTTACTTCACTTTGAGAATTAAGTTGAAAAGCACAAACAATGTTACCCTTTGAAGCTCTTGGTTCTTCTCCTCCAGTTGGGCCTCCATTTGCCGTAGTCGCTCCTCAAAGTTTCCATGGCGCTCTTCTGCCTAATAACAGTAAACTTGAGGCTATTAAAACTAGTTTTTGATGTGATGTAAAAAGCTACAATGTTATTATTATTATGATGATAACACACTTACGGAAGAGCACTGCATTTAACAAATAAAAAGAAATTAGACTCCTGATCTCGTAATGATTAGAAAATGTCATTTTTATGAGAAAAGAAATGAAAGCGGGTACTTCTTGAGGGTCTAGAATTTTGAACAGGTACCACACATAACAATAGGAACTACTTCTTTGGAGTTTATGTTCCACCTGGACGTCTTTGTGTGTGATGCCGAATGCACGACTGCCCAGACTGAGCCGTATATGGTTTACCCACCAGAGTTTAATAAAGTTATGGCCTTAAACAGGACCAAGTGTGTGCTCTTTGTGCACCTACAGAATGTAATATAACACCGGACAGTTCTTTGGGACACCAGCAAGCCAGCTGGGTCCATTTCAGATRCATGAGCTTACTTAAGTATCCCGTACTGGTTTAATTGTTCCTGCAGAAAGAGTGTGACTTCCAGCAGGTCAGAGTGTTTTTTTTTCCTGAACAACCCCAAAAACTTAAGATACCCGCAGAATGTCAACAAACTAATATTAAAGGGTCAATATTATGTGTTTCTCAGGCATGTACATAGTTCAATTCTTTACCATAATAAAGTAATGTCACCTTCAGTTTTTATGAAAATGCTGTTTATATGTATAAATCAAAAAYAAATTTGACTACTTGTCATAGCTGTTTCTAAACGCCTTGAAATTGGCCTCTGTCTCTTTAAAAACCTCCTACCACTTCTGTCCCGTCCATTTCTGCAGTCATCACAAACGCTTCATGCCGTTTACAACCTGGAACATTTTGTTGTAATAATAATAAAAAAGCAGCAACAATATACAATATCGGTTTTGTAAAATGGCAACTTAAAATACATATGAATCTTACTGTTGTACACGGAAAGTACATTTTCTGAAAAACGGAGCAAGTACTAAGGCAACGTCTCAGCTTCTTAAGATATCTCCCTGTCATCCTCACAGACACACGTCAGTGTTAAGCTAATTTATTTATTACTAAAACTAATTCTGTAAGAAAACTTAAGAACACAGATAAAAGTTATTAATGGTAACCGTAGGTCACAGATAGAGCAAACAATTGAAGAAAACATGAAATGTTTTCAGCTTACGGGCAGAAGACAAGTGTTTGTGTACTTTTTAAGTGTTGGAATTGCATCGCCTTTTAGTGATAATCTTATTATTGGTCCACTGATAAATTCTCTTTTGTTCAGAAAGCTAAAGAGGGTAGTCTCCTTGGTATCGGAAAATACGTTTCCTCAAAGGCATTTTTTAATACAAAAAGGACTGAACTGAGAAGTATTATGAGCTCAGTAGACGTGCGGTTTCACCAGTTGTTAGATAGTTGTTGCTGCTGATGGCCTGCAGGAGTCATGCGGGAGGCATGCTCTGTGATGAGGAAGCTTGGCTTGGAGAGACAGCCCAGAGGAGGATCTGCTCCAAAAAGGCAGTTCTAGGGCCAACCGGCCGTTTTTGTTCTCCTGAACGACTGCCTCAAGACTGCACAGGTTTTCTTAAACATGCATGAATTTGCCAAAGCAATACTGTGGGCACGTTTTTAATGAGGGGATAACGGTATAACAAAATAAAAAGCCTAGAAAAGTTGATTTTACATGATATACCATTTAATGCCATTCACATTAAGTAAACTCAATATTTCCTATCTCACACCTAAGAGGAAATAAAAGAGCGCCTAAAGCATCAAATCAGAGTGCAGTCATTGTCCACTTTTCCTGTAGTGTAGATAAGCTATGACTCTCTTCTTTCCACATAATAAAGACATCAGGATCTTGTAATTATGATATATTTTCTCATAATTATGACATCTTTTCTGGTAATTATGAGATCTGGATCTCATAATTATGAGATAAGAGTATATATTTTTTATTTGATAAATGCAATGCTCTTCCATTCATACTCACTAAACCTAATGAGAAAAAGGTTCACCATGAGAACAGTACCTTGTTCAGAGCAGCCACTCTTTGAGCAAGCTGGGCTTCAATTTCAGGCAGTGTCTCTGCCCTCTGCAGGGTCTGTTGGAGCTTCTGTTTGGCCTCATCCAAACGCTCCTGCAGTTGCCTGTTCTTCTCCTCACTCTGGGCACAGAAAAGCAAACATATACTTATGAGCTCTGAGGCTGACAATGGGCTGGCTCTGAAGATTTGAAATATTTTTATGACTGACTGCAAACACCACAAGAGTGAACAATTTCATTAGAGCCGCGGACGGTTATTGGAGTATTTGAGGACAAACTTTACTTGTCTGTACAGGGACTCCTTGCTTGCCAGATCATTTTCCAACTTGTCTTTGATGTCGTGGAGGGAGGTCGCCTCCCGCTGGGCACTGAGATACCTACATGCAACACAAACCACTTATTGTATTCATTCATATCAGGTGTGTTGGAGTAAATAAAACTCTAAAGCATACAGAATGATGGTCCGAGAACCAGGATTGGACACCCCTGTTATAGAAGTTCTAATATTGTCATTGACTTTCAATTTTTGATCCAACTGTGGTTCTAGAAAAAAAAAAACTCCAGTGGACTGAAATAGATTGACTGAAGCAGCAAAGATTACCTTCGTTCTAGTGTTGTAATTCTTTCTTCCATGTCTTCTCTTTGGCAAAGAGCCTGAAAAAGGCAGCAGTAGACTATGAAACATAATTATATCTAATTAGAAGTAAAGCTACAGTTTTATATGCAGTTGTGGAAACTGATGAATGGGTGAGTGTTATTTAATAAGAGGAGAACTGTTGTGTAAAAGAGGCTGCTGCTTATGTTTTATTATGTTGAAATGATCATGCAATATGTAACAGGAATCAGTAAAATATATTTTCCTCTCATTGCATTCCAGAATAACACTGTATATTATTAGTACATAAGCCCACAGAGTGTTTGAATTCACTCTTGAAACCCCAGGTGCAGAGATAGCTCTGTGTTATGGCCAAGAAGAGACAGATTGGACCAACAGACCTCTTTCACTTCCCTTTGGAGCTTCTGATTGGCCTCTTCTGTTTTCGTCACCTCCCTCCTGGCGGCAGCAAGCTGTTCTTCTATTTCTCCAACCTGATGTGACACCACATAGCCACATAACATGACACAGATTACAACTTTTTAAATCAATATGTGCCACAGGTGTAAATGAGGACAATATTATTTGAATATAGGTGTCTGGTTAATGTGAGACTCTTACACTACAGTCATGAAACAGTGTTAAATAATAACATATTTACAATGCAAAATGAATAAATCTACATTTAGATTTTCTCCATGATTTTGTTTTCTGCAGATTCTCAAAAGGCACATAATGTTTAATTCTAATTAACAAACTACATATTGAGTCCAACGATTTCTGCTGCTGCATACAGCTGGTCACACAATGATTCAAAGACAACTTTTTGCTCAAAATATCCCATTATTGTGCTGTTTTCCCCTCACAGCTGTAATAGTGTAATTTGCCACTAGAGGGAAGAAAATAACCAGCCAAAATACACATTTTCTTTCCTTCTTGTGCAATATTGTGAGCTTGGAAATGCTTATAAACTAAATTGGAAAATTAAGTAATAAGAGAAATAAACATGGCTAATAGTTCTGCCTGCCATCTTCTAATGATGGTAAGAAATCTAACAAAAACAAGCAGAAATGGACAATATTTGAATAAAATGTGGTGACAATAATGGGCTCATTTGCTAATAATTCATTGGAACAGACAATAAAGTCTGAAGACTTCTCTTAAAATAACCTGTTTTAGTTTCCTTTTTTAGTTTTAGGTTGTATAAAATATGTTTTAACTCAAATATTTTAGCTATGACTTCTCATTTAGTCATGAAAGTAAACATTCATTCTGCAGCAGTGAAGCTCTTTTTGCTCCATAAAAGAATACCATACCATACCAGCTTTATTTATAAAGCACTTAAACAACCATAGGACCAAAGTGCTGTACAGTCACAGTCAATAAAACACACAATACAGTCACAATACATAATAAAAGCCAAATCCAAAACTTAAAACTTTATAATAAAACAAACACATAAAACCAATTAAAACAAATTAAAATAATCTCAAAGCAAACTAAAACAATCTTCATTATGGGGTTCGTTTGTGTTCACCATAAGAGACTGACACTCACCTGCCGGCACATGAGAGCCAGCCTCTCCCTCAGCTGGGAGAGTTCGGCTCTCTGTCGCTCTATCTCTCCTTCTCTCTGTCTTTCAAGCTCCCCGTCTTCCAGGCCAGCTGATGGACCATTGGGTAGCCGCTAGAATGATTGGCAATAAGGCAAAAAAAATGAGAGTAGTGAACAAAAAATAACGAGTTACCGGTAGTCAGTTTCCTACGGTGCCCATCCAGTGACAGTGGATAAAAGGAATTTTCCTTGTGCCCATTACTATCTCGCAGCCACGACATAATAACACTTGGCCACAAAATAAATTAAAAACTGTTCATTTTTTCATACTATTAATGAGACAACAATGCATGCTTTAGATGAGTGTTGGGACACCAATTTTTTTACTGTGTTCCTGAATGAAACATATCTATGATGCCTTCCAGAATAAAGGCACGGTGTTAGAGTGGCCTGCTTTGTGCTGAGCTTCAAAAAAATCAAATAAAGCTTTTTAGACAAATACAACTCTGTGTCTTAAAGCTGCAACCTATAATGTTAAGAATTACTTCATGCTACGAATGACCAAAGTATGCCATTCATTCCTATATTAAAATAAAATAAAATTAATTCAAACTCATCCAATCAACAGTCTCTGAATGACTGAAATAATTATCTTGTGGACACATGTTCTTTATCCTGTTGCCACAAGGTAATAATGCATGTCCACAAGATATGATTATTTTTATCCTATATCACCAACGGGCTCCGTAGTTCCGAGCTCTAGAGGAGTTAAAAGCACACTGACACACCATGGTACCCAATATCTACTTTTCTAACACATACACAAAAACAACTGGAACCAACATGCAGAAAACCCTCCCTTACATCTTTCCCGCCGTCCACCCCTTGTTGACGTCTTTTAATTTGGTCTCTTAAAGAGATTACCTGAGAAAAGGGAGACAAAAGTTGGAAAATAAATGTTTTTTTTTATTTTTATTTTTATTTATTTATTTATTTATTTATTTATTTATTGCCAGTGGGAGACACTCTTAAAATGCGAGACTTTACCTCTTGAGATGATGCTGCAAGTTGATCTTCTAACATGGATACCCTCTCGAGGGCCACACGGAGCCTCTCTCGGACCTGTCAGTTGAAGCAAATGATACAACCAACCAGTTTTACAGGGGATCATTTCCATCCTTCAGATGTACGAGGAGTTTTTAAATGATGTAGCAGATGTGTTAAAACAACTTCAAAACATAACTGCATTAACAGGTTACAAATACTTGAGATTTATCTGTGGAGAGCAGAAGGTTAGGAAGTTTAATTTTGAAAATTTGTTGAAAAAGTATTTATTAAAAAAGGTCGAAAGCTAAAGAATCAATATATTTTAAAGSTCCTTTGTTTGACCCACCTTCTCATCCAAGGCTTTGTGATGTTCAAACAGAGATTTGAGGGCCTTGAGGACCTCCACCTCACTGGAGACCCCAGCAGGGGACTGGGCTTGCCTCTTGACCACCGTCATTCTCAGACTGCGCTCGTGGCGAGACACTAGACACTCCAGGTGTTCGAGCAATAACTGGAGCATGCAGTGGAACGCAGGAGAGGAAGAGGGGAAAGTAAAGACAAGGTAATGTTAAAGGTAAGACAAGTAGTTTAAAGAATGTGGACAAAGAATGGAGGAGGTGTAGAAAAACAGAGACAACGCATGGAGAGTGACAAACAGCGAAGAAGCAAAGAAATGATGAGTATTTGGGAGTGACAAAGATAAAATACAGTGAGTTCTTCAATGGGCAGTGGATTTAAGAAAAGCAGACAAAAAATCAAATGAAGAAAAGGAAAAAAAAGAAAAAAGCAATTGCGATTTTCTCACACCCACACAATCACAAAGGGTAAATGAAAAAGATAAGGCAGAGGCTGTTACAGTCCTAATGGGCAAAATGGCYGCTAAACATCTTACACGTGTGTTGTTTCTCTCCGCTTTCAGCTCAGCAATTTCCTCCTCCCTCTCAAGAAGCTGCTCCCGGCAAATGTTCAGCTCTTTAGTCAACACAGCAAACTCCTGTGGAATACACAAGCTACATTCAGGGGCGAGAAAACAAACCATGTCAATGTATGTTTTAATRCTCCAAATGTTGTCTAGACTTCAATGGACAAATACCAGTTCCAGGAAGACTGACTTCTGCATGGCTGGCTGCTTTAAAGTGGTAGCTTAGATATTTTGAAGTGGATTTTGTTAGGAGAAGTCAGGGCTTGTCCACATGGAAACACAGTTTTTCCAAAGCATTTTTTTGTTGTTGTTTCTAAAACTACCCCAGTAAACAAGAGACCAAAATGGCTTCATCCACACAGAAACACCAAACATGATTCAAAATGCTGTAGTAACTATGCCAGGCCTGTGTGTGGCGCAACAATGCTGCCATGAAAATACACCAAAAACAGGAAACAATACTTGTTGCATGCAATGAAGTGTATTGAGTACAGGCATCTTGCATGCTTCAGAAGATTGATCACGGTGGTACAAGTGTGACGCCATGTTGGAAGGGGCGGGCTGTTGATGTAAACGATTTATCATGGCTAAATTTCTGCATAGAACTGCAAACAYACATGTCAAGTTGTACAGATTGTCCATGATTTGCACAAATTTTCCGTCATTTTGCAGGTATGCGGACATATAGAGCAATCTCATGGATTTTTTCATGTTTTACAGATATTTTTCAAAATCTCAGTTTCAAATCTATTCAACATGTCAGAGTAGGACGTTAAAAACAATAAATAACATTAAATAACCACTTCCAACCCACTCTGCTGCCAGAAATAAGTTCTTCCATCCTTACTTCCTTCTGATATTGCTGCACCCGACAGTCTGCCTGCTCCCCGCTCCCTCCCTTCCGTAGCTGACATGTACGTGCATGTAAATATTAGCTGTTCATTGGTTGGTTTCTGCCTACAAGAAACATCCTTCAATGCAGACGTGTGTACCTTTGCAACAAGTTTTTGCCTGATATGATAATATGCACTGACATGCATAAATCAAAATAATGTCTGTCAGTAGCAAACATTTAATTTAACATGTCATGGTTACCGTTGTTACAACATTAAGCTTTACCAGATTGCCTTCGTCCCGAACAATATGGCTGCTTTCTTTGACCAAGAAAAGTCACATGATATTGCCTCTAGTCAAAACACCTTATTGAATGCATGTACATAAATTTGAATCACTGGGTGCAAAATGTAGAGATTGGATAAAGATAGGATGCTCTRAAATCTTAGCTTAGATTAGTTGTAAAGCGATGATATCATTGTTTCAAAAGGTTGTGTTTTGCCTGTTTACATGAAAATGCAGGGATGATGTTTATAGATGAATATTTTAATTGTTTTTGCACATTGAAACACTACCTCAGAATGGAGGATAAGCAAACTGCTAAAGAGTCCAGTTGCTATCTTAAAACAATATCCATGCAGAGACTTTGCACAAGTTCATGTGAATGCTATTGTACAAATCTTTAATCAGTGTCAATTTCTTAATATTCTACAAAAAAATATTGATATGTATGGTAGATGCAGAGCTGCACTTGCAAAATAACAAAAAAACATGACAACCATGTCAGGTTGTCAATCTGTTCAGTATCAGGTTTTATATCTTCAAACTGAGGCTCATCAAAAAAGCTCTACGTAGCAGGTAAGATAATGTTTGTTCATAAGTTTTCCAAAGACCCTCATTTTCAAACATTTGAACTGTTTGCTTGAAGTACAAAAAGACAAACAAAAAAATGGTGGAAAATGCAAATAGCCAGAGGCTTCCAGTAGGATGTTTTGTGAGACATCTGAGATCAGAAATGTAGGAGGCCGCACCTGATGTAAACCTACATAACAATCAGGTGAATCACTGACACAGTTTCTACCACCACTCTCTCCTGCTCATCTTCCTCTGTGAACTCTTATTCACGGATAGATTACATCACACTGTTACACAATGGCTCGGCACCGGAATGCACAAGAGAGACCCCGGAAACACGGCATCAAATGGGTGTTTACAGCAGCAGTGGGAATAGAACTGCAGCTCCTGAGTGCAAACAGAAGAATATGTCACCACCGCCATCCGTGGCGAACTTCCTTTAACGTCTTCATTAAACACTTTCAAGGCTGTCACTTCGTAGCGATAACTGGTTATAAGATGGATGAAAATAGTGCGAGTGTTTACACTCAAGGCTGCCTGCTATATGATTATAAAAATGTTAAAATTCATAAAAAAATCTCAGTGTTTAAGAGGGTGGAGGAGAGTCAGTCAGAGAGAGATTTATACAGATGGTGACACAGTGGGTTTGTTGGCTATTAGCCTGATAGGATTGTTTCTTGTTTGGATGGGGGTCAACTTCTCAGTTGGCTTCCCTTGACTCTTTTTTTTCCATAAAATTTCATTCTCAGTCTCAGAGCACTGCTTTTCATTCGTTTAATTGAGCCTCTTAAGTGTACCTGGGATTACAGGAGTAATATTGTTTTAAAGGGGCAATATTTTGTGTTTCTCAGGCATATATTTAAATACTATACCACAATAAAGTATCTATGTCACCTTAAGGAAAAAAATTGAATAGGTCCTCTGGACGGGTTCTTCTTTAATGAAACGTTTTGTCTCTCTTTCAAGAGACTTCTTCAGTCTGAGAGTTTCAGGCAAAATTCAGGCTTTTGAGTCCTGCCTCCAGGTGACTGATACTCACATCACATGGCTATCGTTCACAGGTGGCTGATACTCACATCACATGGGTATCGTTCACAGGTGACTGATACTCACATCACATGGCTATCGTTCACAGGTGGCTGATACTCACATCACATGGGTATCGTTCACAGGTGACTGATACTCACATCACATGGCTATCGTTCACAGGTGGCTGATACTCACATCACATGGGTATCGTTCACAGGTGACTGATACTCACATCACATGGCTATCGTTCACAGGTGGCTGATACTC